AAAATGCATTCATCGTCAATCCTCCAAAATCCTCCTCATCCCAAAATTTTGCACTCGTGTTTAAATGAAGGATAACCAACGCCAAATCCTTCAAAATCATCAGACAGTCCTGCCTCAAAATGCATTCATCCTCAATCCTCCAAAATCCTCTTGTGCTTCAATCACCATTCATCCTCAATCCTCTAGAATCCTCCAAAACCGCCAGGAGGATTTTGGAGGAGTGAGGTGGGTTAGGGTTTTTTGCAGGGTGCGCCATGACAGTGTGCAGGTCTTTGTACCTGTGTGATACACTTGATCAGGCACTTTGTGCTTTCATTATTACTGAATCTAAACAAAACCTGCCCACTGTCATGGCACACCCTGCAAAGGGTCTTGGCATTGTTGCATATGACTACGGCCATTCAGTTGACCTAATTAACAGCAAAAACAAACAAAGCCGAAACCACAAAATATCTGATTAAAGAAAGGGACTTTTAAACTCCATGGGAAATGGCTCCCAGGTACCGAGTGGAATGGATGAAGTCTACCTGCAAGTTCAGCAAGTGCAGATGGGGACTAGCTGCACTTCCAGCCCTCAGTCCCACCCACACACTAAGAGGAAAAAATAACACAAACAAGAAAAATCCCCTCTCATCGGTTAAAAAAGTTGATGATTAAAGTTATTAACTCGGTGAAAATAAAAGCCACACAGATGTGGATCAACAGAACCTCGGGGTAAGGACAGCGGGGAAAAAAGTACTCTGACACGAGTCCGGGAAAGTGGATTTTTACAGTAGTCAGGGTTTTAGTTCGTCAGGTTTTTTTTTCTGATTTGCGATGGTGGGGGAGGGGGGGTGGACAGGGGACAAAACTGTAATGACAGAAGAGAGAGAAGACACGATGTTAATTTCCCGTGACCAGCGGCCTGGCGCCAGGCTATATTGGTAGAGACGAGCGCGTGCATACACATGCACGCTGCGCACAATGCGTGAGCGTGTTTGCCATGTCCAAGGGTCACTTATAATGCAGAGATGCATTGTGTTTTTCCTTCCACCATTTTGTTATTTTTAGGATGCTATTAGCTGAATCGTGAATTATTTTTTCTTCTTTGTTAAAAACATCTCCTTCTTTGGATATTTTAGTAAAGATACTATTGAAAATTAAAGACTGTTTTGTCCTGAATTCTAGGACCGTATTCTGCAAAGTTTATCTTTACGACTATTTCTCTTTGCTTGAAACAAAATTCGTCATATTCTTTGATTTGTTGACCAATGTATGGTCTGTCTAAATTAACTCTGTAATATATTTTAAAGAACAATGACAAAAACTAGCAGGAAACCATGGTACCTGCTGATTGCAATGAAATATCACAATAAGTAAATAAATATTGCAATCGATTCCTGCTGGTTGAAATTTAAAAAAAAATAAAAAACAGTAAATAAATCAGTTCATGCTGGCCCCAACTAAGCCTACATGTATATTGAATCAGAACGATACTGTCATAACTTTTAGGATTTTAAAAGACAAGAGAATTATATTCTATTTGAAAATGCCACATGAAAGAAGATTGTGAATTGCGGGGATGCAAGGGATGTGCAATTTAGCCATAATTCACACTATCCGAAACCCACTGAATGCCACAATATGTAATAGTGTGCAATTTCTATCTAACACAGGGTGAGTAAAAAAAACCCGAAACCCAAATGTCGGGACCATTGTTTTGGTGACGTTCTGCATGTAGCACTTTCAAAAGTCCAATTCATAAGCTTTCTTTTAATACAAGAATCATTCAAATCACTCATGTACTTTTCAAGTTACAGAATTTTAAACACAACCACTGTTTTAAGGTTCTGTCCACAGATCACAAAAAGTTCAGGGTTGTTTCAGCAGAACGGAAACAAATCACATAGGGATGTGTGCGAATTGTTTTCGTTTTGCTGAAAGAACACACACCTTTTTTGTGATCCGTGGACAGAACTTTAAAACAATGGTTGTGTTTAAAACTCCGTCACTTGAAAAGTACATAAGTGATTTGAATGATTCTTGTACTAAAAGAAAGTTTATGAATTGGGCTTTCATATCCTAGATTTTGAAAGTGCTACATGCAGAACTTCACTAAAACAATGGTACCGACATTTGGGTTTCGTTTTTTTACTCACCCTGTAGTGTGCACTGCACAGGAAACAAAAAAGGCCTTTTGTTCTAGCTGTGTGATTTTGATGGATTAAGCAGTTTTACTGTACTTTGTGCTTGTTTTTTTTTGGAATCTGTTGAATTCTGGAGAAAACCTTGAAGGGATTTCAGAACTTCCAATCAAACTTTGCAAATCCAACAAGACCCAACATAAAGCTTTTGGAGGGATCTCTATGGTACAGGGATGATATTGTCAATTTGAAAAAAAGGTCTGAAAATTGGATGAAAGGTTTGGAAGATGCATTTCTTTCTATGCTGATAGTGTCTTTGTCTCAGATTAAAAAAGTCAGAAATCAGACCAAAATCTGAAAAATCTCTTGCGTGATGCAAGAGACGAGTTCCGCTCAGAAATGTACAAAAAAAATGTATTACTTAAAATCCAACTTTTGATGGTCCACCCCCATCTCCCTAAAAAAATTGTGCCTTCAAGTTATAAAAACAAGCAAATTTGATTCAAATAGTAATGGAAAAGTGGCCAGGAAATGCCTCAGATTGCACCACAGAGCATCTAGAATCCAACATTTTCCAAGGCCCGTGAGCAGGCCCCGAACCCTACACCGTATTGGCTTCACGCTCCGCGCTCGCATATAAAAAAATTCCAGTTTGGGATTTGAAGAACCCCCCAGTCTGGGATCAGGGAACAGGCTTGTGATGGTACTAAAACACTGATCTTATCGATCCGTGCCGTTGCATTCTTACAGCCGTGTTCAACTGCCAAAGGAGTCTTAAGTTTTGGGACCGCCATGTTTCAACCTCTTGCCAAAGTGACCAAACTTTGGTTGAATAGAAAAGGTCAATCAGCAGCCACAGGTCAAAAGCCGACAATCTCTGTACCAAAGTTGTAGAACATTCCAGATTTTCTTTCAGAAACCACTAGATAAACTCTAGTTTATTTTTACCCATTCGGAGCATCCCCATACTCGAACACACCTATATTGGCCCAGAAAACAAGTTCCAGTGAGATGCAAACAGCCTCTTTTTTTTCATTTTATTCCCCTGCCGGATTGGAGAAAGCACTATTTCAAGAATTTGACAAGAAAGCACATTAATATTTTAGCGTGTCAATGTTTTTATACTTATCAAAGACGTGGATTTTGTTTAGTGGATTATGTTTATAGTATTTCAATTATGTGTATACAGGGTGAGTAAAAAAAAACGAAATCCAAATGGCAGGACCAATTTTTGATTGAAGTGTTGCCTGTAGCACTTTCATAATCTAGGATAAGAAAACCCAATCAATGAGCTTCTTTTAGTACAAGTATTATTCAAATTACTCATGTACTTTTCAAGTTACGGAATTTTGAACACAAAGACCATTTTAAAGTTCTGTCCACGGATCAAAAAAAAGGTAAGTGTTCTTTCAGCAAATCGAAAACAATTCCCATGTATGGTTTCCTATGAGAATTGTTTTTGTTTTGCTGAAAGAACACTTCCAGTTTGTGTGATCCGTGGACAGAGCTTGAGAACGGTGGTTGTGTTCAAAATTCAGTAACTTGAAAAGTACATGAGTGATTTGAATGATCTTGTACTAAAAGAAAGCTCATTGATTGGGCTGCATATCCTAGATTTTGAAAGTGCTACAGTTTTTTTTAATCACCCTGTATCTCTTATTGAAAAAAATGATTGTAGCTTATAATTTAGCTTTGATCTGAATATCATGAAAACAAATTACATATCTTTTTTTTGAAAAGAATATTAATTACTGTTGATTATTTGTTAAACACTGACAAATAGTTGGCCTTCTGACAAAAAGTACCAAATATGCAACACAAAAAATTGTTTCTTCTAGCTGAATGGTTTATGGTATACAGTATAACAAGTAATGGAATACCATATAGCAAGAAGGGCCCAACTCCTCCAAATACGAGTAAGACCCAGCATTTTTGTTTACTTGAACAAATGGTTTCCTTTTGTGTAAAAGAGCCTAAATCAACACTCCAAATAGCATTTTTGCATGAAAAAAAATTACCAACTCCCAAAGACAAATCCAGAAATGGTGCCGGGTTTTCAATCATAGCTGAACAAGATATTCAGCTTAATCAAATAAGCACTTTGAGCCATAGTTTTTGCCGGCAGGTTGGCTAATGAAACAAGGGGATTATCAATATCAGGGAGTCAGGTTGGCGCAGTGGTTTCTTTCCTCGCCTTCCACTGCTGTGACCCAGGTTCAATTCCTGCCCTGGTTCACATGTGGATTGGCTTTTCAGTCCCCACCTGATTCCGTGGGTTTCCCCCAGAACATTCTTCTGGGGTTTTCCTCCCACCTCTTAAACTGTAATTTCTTGTCAATGTTTTCTCTCCACAGGCTTCCTTAGGCTTGCGAGCTACAGTGCCTAGGGCGCTTTTGAGGAATCCTTGGTTTCAGTACCAGAAAATAATAATAATAACCCCCTTTAGTCAACCTTCTACATCCCTCCGACTCCTTGCACTTAAGAATTTCATCGACACTTGACCAAATTTTGGAGCATCGATGAGATCGTTCTTCCTTTCAGATAGTTAATAAACATGTACATGTATTGTTAAAGAGAAAAAAATGTTCAATGCAAAATATATACGTGTATAAGATGGAATTTTTGCGCCAGGGTGATATAAATCAAATTAGGTTATGCCCTTCACCGACGTTTTAAGACATCTGCACTAGAAAGCAGGAGGTCGTGGGTTCGAGTCCCACCCGAGTGATTGATTTATTTTTATTTTTTTTCCAACTTTCACTCGGGAGGTAACACACTGAGTATACAGTGTTTAAAACGTCGGTGAAGGGCATAACCTAATTTGATGCAAAATATACATAATAACCAGAGCTACCTCTTCTCTGTCGCTTGTTTCAGAACCGACTCATGGCAGGTGGCCAAGATGATCAAGAACTACATGCAGCAGCACAACATCCCCCAGCGTGAGGTGGTGGACGCGACGGGACTGAACCAGAGCCACCTGTCCCAGCATCTCAACAAAGGCACGCCCATGAAGGGGATCAAGAGAGCTATGCTGTACGGCTGGTATGAGAAGAAACAACAAGAGATCATGCAACGTGAGTACAATTTTTAAAAACTCTTAACATATGTTGTTGTTAGATTAGGCCAAAAAAAAAAGTCTCCGGTTTCTGGTATGCGCGCCCGTCGCCGTAGCCATGCGCGTCGGCAAAATGAAATTATTTTTTTTTCAATGAAAGATGATGTCTCAAAACCGCCAAACTCACTGGTTTGACTGGAATCCTGCTGCTGCACTTGTAACGTGTTTTTAGATGGGGTTATGATCGAGAATAAGCTTTATGTGGCCTCTCTGGTCTCCCATAATATTTGCACTAAGTTTAGTCGGGCACCATTTGCAGTCATCAGCCGACATTTGAAGCAAAAAAAACAGGGGGAAAAAAAAAAAAAGCCACGTCGCCGCACCACTTTTTGGGCAAGCTCCATACCAGAAACCGGAGACTTTTTTTTGTGGCCTTAATACCCATTTTTGACTGGCCTTCAAGAGTCGCACTTAAAGGTAATATACAACATTTGCAAACATCAAAAACAAAACTACCAAATTATTACGAAATACCTTGCTTGACTGTAAGTGAATAACAGTTCAAGCATCCTGTGAATCGTGGCACCTAGTGTGCTGTCATTTTCAAGAATTGTGGAATATTTGTATCAATTTCCAATGATGGTCGGCTGACCAAAACTAGAAGGAAATAAATTGTTTTTTTGTTGAAATATAACATCAAAATCCAAACTTTATTTGGAGAAAAAAAAAAAAATTATAAGATACTCACTAAAAAAACACACCACAAAAACACAAAAACTCCAAGCCACCATATATTTACCTGGGTAATGATCTCTCATTGACAGAATTCACAAACCCAGAGAAATCCATCTTGGCAGATGATCGAGGCGATACGAGGAACAAGAAGATGCGAAGGAATCGGTTCAAGTGGGGGCCGGCATCGCAGCGGATACTGTACGATGCCTACCAGCAGAACCGTAACCCTAGCAAGGAAGACAGGGAGAATCTGGTCGTTCAGTGCAATGCGTGAGTATACATAGTCACATTTTGTTGTAATTTGATGGGACTGAAAATTATATCTATTTAAAGGGAATGTACAGCATTGGCTTTTGCTATAATGGATAAAATGTTGTTACACTGACAAGTTTGAAGTTTTGTGTTTAAAAATGCTGGAAAAACCAAGAAAAACAAATATGTTCAAATAGTCTAGTTCCCTGACTCCACTAAAGATGAAATTGATCAATTTAATAGATGCCGGAAAATTGTAAAGTAAGTGTCACAGTCTAGTTGGCCTGCACCCGTTCATGAACATGTAACCAATAGCAAACAAAATTTGCACTGAAAAAATGGTACATTTGGAGCAGTATAGTTAAAAAATAGTTAGGTTTTTCCAATGGTGGTCGGCCGACCACCGTTGGAAATTTACACAAAATAGCACTTTTCTATAAAATGACTTCACACCAGGTGCCATAATTTTACAGGATGCTTTATACTGTCATTTACCAACATCCTAGTAAGGTATTTCGTAAACATTTGGTAGTTTTGTTTTTTTATGTTTACAAATGTTGTATATTCCCTTTAAAAAGATCATCTCTGAAAAAAACTTAACATCCAATGATTGCATACTTTCAAGCAGACACAGGTGAAAAAGTAGGAGAATAGTACCTGGGATCAAATTATAAAAACAAAACAGGACAAAAGTAGGATTTTGGAGGACAAAATCAGGCTTTCGATAGTACACTTTCAAAAGTAGTTTTCGTAGATACTCAAGTCTCATTTGGCATGTTCTGTTCTCACAACACTTGTGCTCCATCGTCAACTAAGCTCTTGGAAGGACAGTTGCAGTACTCCTGCGCCCAATCCCTTCATTGTGTGATTTTATATGTGGCAGTGTGTAACACTGTTATGAAAAAAAAATATTCAATGAGATTTCCTTTTTTTTTGAGTTGTGGGAAAAAAGTAGGGAAAGTAGGAGCAAGGTTAAAAACAACTAGGCAAAAGTAGGAAAAGTAGGAATACTTGAAAACCTGGATTGAGGTACTCACTGTAAGATTTGAACTGATAGGCAGGGTGACCATTTTAGCCGATTTTCAGCTAACTTTGACAGAATTTTGGTTAAACAAAGTGTTCGACAATAAATTTGACAGAATGCATTTTTTTGGCAGATTTCTGGCAGAATTCTGCAAAAATGGATATTTGACAGAAAAACATAGTAAATAAAAAAAAATTGTACGTTTTCTTTAAAAAAGCTTCAATCTTTTCAAACAAACCCTTGCATAATGGGAAATGTTGGTTGGTCTAGGTGCTGAGGTTCACTGGGAACCAGGCTTTGTCACAACACAACCCCGTTTCGTCAGAAATTTATGCAATTTTATAACATCTTTATGTGACTGTAGATTGTTTATAATGTAATTTGAACCTTAATAAAGGCAATACTACAACATTTGCATGTGACTTTAAATGGTTATACTGTATTTCAAGTAAATCTGGGGAATTTGGCAGATTTTTGATGAATCTGACAGATTTTTGAATTGCATTTAGCAGAATTTGTGGCAGTCAGGTGGTAAGGGCACCTACACTTGTAAGTAGGAGCAGCTCCTACGTTTCCTACTTTTCTCACTTTTCTCTTGAAATTCCTACGTTTTCCTCATTTTTTGTCCCACAACTCTGAAAAATGAAATTTCATTGAAAATTTTCCCGAAGGTTTAGCAAAAGTGCCTAGGGAGTTAATGGGCCCATGCAATGTAATATTATTTAATGAAATCCTTGAAAACACACCTTTGTTTCCAATTTAACCCTATTTTCAATTTTCATTTTGCCATTTTCAAGGGTATTTTGGTGCCTTTTTGGTTTTTATGCTAATATGAAGTTTACATTTATGAGCAAATGTGCGATGTCATTTCAGGCAGAATCCGCAATGTTACAGCTGTTTCATCAGCACCGAAAGTTGCCAGAATTTTGGATATTTGCTGTTGTGAATTTTCTTTTCATTGGTGGTTCATTGTTGTATCAGTTGCCATTGAGCAGTAGCCAATGAGCAAACATTTCTCACAAGTGTTGTCAATGAGCAGATTTTGGTTCACAATTTATACAGAAAAACCCTAACACGAACAGTGTCTCCCTGAAATGACATCACAGCAACAATGCCCTCAGTTGTCTGGAAAGCACGGACAATTTTAAGTGTTTAAAGAAGTGTACTTTTCAATAAAATTGGCCCAAAAGGGTCAAATTGTTTTCATACATTTAAGAGGAGTAGAATTTTGCACAAATTAAGAAAAAAAATGCATCTCCATGTACTCTTTAACAGTGTGTTGAATCTTTGGTCTGATACGATACTTCAATTGTGGGCCTCTGTTGGATTTCAAAAACCGAAACCACAGCGAATAGGCCTATGTGTGCACAAAAATTGCTACAAGTTGAGTGCGAACGTGCATGCATTCCCACAACAAATTATCGGCCATCTTGGCTGATAATCTGTTTAAATATGCGTAGACTTTGACCTCTATTATTGGCGCATTTTCTCTACTTCAACGTGAAAGCTAAAAACACTTCAGATTTTGAGGTCAATTTTTGTTTTGGGGCTCAGTGCAAGGGTTCACTTGCAAACATGTGTTCTGAAACAAACACTATTTGTCTTTATATTTATCGATGGTTGAAATGTTAAACGGTTGCTTTTTTTAATTGCAATTTGGATATAAACAGGTGTGACTACTGTATTCTTTTAATTGTCAACATAAACAGCATTTTTGTTAATAATTAGCCAAAATATACAGTCACAATATGCATAATTGTATCCATTTCACAATCTGTTTTTCAATAATTTGTGTAGATCTGTTACATTCAAAAGAAAATTTGAAACAATGAAATAGGTAATTTTAAACACCCATTTTCACTGAAAATGATAATTCATAGTTTTGGCCAGTCGAGTCTAGAAAGAAAATTGGAGATTGTTGTCTGTAATCTTATAAAAATAAAGGCTCTTTATTCTGCTAAAATTTTTGCAGGTTTTCCCCTACACTCCCATATTTTATGTTAAAAGCAATGCACTGCACTGCAGAATTATGTTCAGTGCCTTTCAAGAGCTTTTTCAAAAAAAAAAAAAAAAATCTCTGACGGAATGTACACTAGATGGGTAATGCAAGAAAGTTAAAATCGAAGCCATTTCATGCTACACATTTCAGGTTTTATATAATGTTGCATTTCCCTTTCCCCCCGTTTCATCCCGAAAACTAGTTTCTTTTTCTAAATTCCTTTTTTTTCTAGCTTTACAAAAGTTATTCACTTTTGAATGACATCAACCAAAAAATCTGCCCATGTTTGGTTATCAAATTATTACTTTACTATTTCAAATTATTGGCTGCCAGACAATGATTCTGTTCTTACAGGGGTAGGCTGGTTGCTGCCACAAACAGCATCAATAATGTATGCACTGGGAGCCAGTCTGCTTGCGTAGCGAATCATTCATTCCCAAAACGAAAAAATTTAAAAAGAGGTTTTTGTGGTTGGAATAATAAAACATACAAGTTGAAAATTTATTAGAAAACAATTAAACTTGTTGCAGAGCACAGGGAATGCAAATTTAGGATGGCCACAAATTGCTGCAGAAATGTTAAAGGGAATATACAACATTTGCAAACATCGAAAAATATAACTACCAAGTTTTTATGAAATACCTTACTAGGATGTTGGGAAATGACAGTCTAAGCATGCTGTAAAATTATGGCACCTGGTGTCAAGTTGTTTTCAAGAAAATTGTATTTTTGTATACATTTCCAACGGTGGTCGGCCGACCACCGTTGGAAAAACCTAACTATTTTTCAACTACTGCTCCAAATTTACAATTTTTTTCAGTCCAAATTTTGTTTGCTATTGGTTACATGTTCATGAACTTGTGCAGGCCAGCTAGACTGGTTCCCTTACCTTACAATTTTCCGACATCTATAAATTGATTCATTTTATCTTTAGTGGAGTCAGGGAACCAGACTACTTAAACATTTTTGTTTTTCTTGGTTTTTCAAGCATTTTGAACACAAAACAAATGTCAGTTAAACAATATTTGATCTTTTATACTAACCCTTCAAATAGTTCATTTCTGAAAATTACAGCAAATGCCAATGATGTACATTCCCTTTAAGGTTCAGGGAAAGATGTGCAAAGCTTTGTACAACACCAAAAAGATGTGGACAAAACATAACCAAAAGGTGTATTTGCTCTGTACAGGTAGACCTCAAAGAACTCAAAAACTCATCTTTCGTTTCTTGGAGTACACCACTGTGTAGTGCTTGACTTACACGGCACCATTGTTCGGTATTTAATTACCGATACTAAAAAACACACATATAATAGCAAGGGGTTGTGGCTGGTTTTTAGTGCAGTGCAAAGACTAGCCATTAATCTATTTGTAAACCTCATGAAAGAAGTTTGCCCAGCGGATTAACAGGCCAATAACAAGGGATTCAGGAAGAGGGAAGGTTTACATTTTGGCAAATGTTGGTCCACTCCTTTAGCACAATGCCCTGATCATAACAACCAGCTAGACCACAGTGTAAACTCGTCTGGGGGATATCAGTTGTTGTGGTTTGTATACTTTGGACATGGCACATGGCGGCACAATAAAACCACAAACAAAAATGGAGGATGGTTAGAAATTGAAGTCGTTGAACTGAACTTGGACAAATTGGGAGTTGGCACACACGAATTGACCTTCAAATTTCTGACTTTTGGTCTCCTGACCAACTACTTTTTATTCAAAGATATTCTTTCAGTATACTTCTTGATTATTTGATGTAAATTTTATCGCTGGCATTTTTTTGTGAGAGGGGGAGTGGTTTAAGGAAAGTCAGGAAATTTCAGGAAATTTCCTAAAATGTTTAGGAACTTAAGAATTGTGCAGTGTTTTACTAGACTGATATTGTAACTGCTTATTGACTTTTTCTTATTTATTTACTTTTGGGGGGGGGGAAGAAAAGATGGCTATAGAATTAAATGGTGTCCTTTTTATACAATCTGAAATTTTGATTGTGTACTCTTCAACCTTTTCATCAGATAACTCATTGATATTTTGAAGTAAAACGTTGAAAACTTGCGGCTGGAATAGTCATCCCAAATTCTTGATTCTTTTACACAATTTTAATTTGCAGTATGGGTTGACAACTGAGAAAGAACCATGGTTGGTCAATATTTTCAAAACAACTGAGGAAAATAGACTAGTAGGGGACTCGAACTTCTACTGTCACTGATCACTACTGCTTCAGCTACATGTATGCTCTATCATTGAGTAGTGTACATGTAGGTGGATGCGTACTGTTACAGCGATCCACTGGTTTTGGGTTCAACCTCCATTGTTTCCCTTGTTCACTCCATATGCGGTTTGATTGCTAATTCTCTGATTTTGGTGTTTTTTGCTCGGAAGCTTAAAAATTTACCAAAATCCATCTCCGGCAAACAAGTAACAAAACAACAAATTGGGACATACCAAGCCTAGATGTAGGTGGAGTCATCAGTAGCTGACTCAAGGGAGTCAGGTTGGCACGGTGGTTTGTTCCACACCTTCCACCTCTATGGCTTGGGTTCGAATCAAGCCCCGGTCCACATGAAAATTGAGTTTTTAGTCACTACCTGATTCCATGGGTTTCCCCAAAATATTCTTCTGGGGTTTTCCTCCCACCTGTAAAACTGTAATTTCTTCATTGTCTTCACTTCACAGGTTTCTTCAGGCTTGCAAGCTACAGTGCCTTGGATGCTTTTGAGGAACCCTTGGCTTCATACCAGAAATAAATAATAATAATAGTACCAAATCCTTCAAGTAGGTGTTGGATTCAGAGAAATTAATGAGAGTTGACTTATTATTCCACTTCCCTCATGGTTTATTTCAGTGACCACTAACGCTTCAAACGATGGCCCTTCAGTTTCAGTACAAAAACATCTTGTCTTTGTTTTTTTTACAGAGCGGAGTGTATGCAAAGAGGCGTCTCACCCTCCCAGGTCAGTGGGCTGGGAACAAACTTGGTAACAGAAGTCAGGGTTTACAACTGGTTTGCCAACCGGCGGAAAGAGGAGGCATTCAAGAACAAACTAGCACTGGATGCACAGGGAATCCAATACACAATACCAGGTAAGGATGGTTAATGATGGTTAATGATGGTTAACTTGTCCAAGCAGTTTTAACCGGGTTAGTGAATCGGTTTGCGGCCCTTTATTGATCAGCTGGAGGAGCTAACTAACTAGTGAATCTATTTACAACAAGTTTGTGATTTCAAAAGGAGATTTCTTTTGCAATCTACAAAGACAATTCACAACACGGAGCGTCAGGAAAAAAAGCAACACCCTTAATAATCCAAGTAACAGTTCTTTACAAGTTGGTAAATCCACTGAAAATTAATTTTTGAGCTGCTGAAAAAAGTCATTCAAAAACAAACCGGATGCACAGAAATCCATTCCACAGTACAGGGTGTGGGTAAGTTAAATTGGTTGTTAATCCACATCGATATTTAATCAAAGTTGGTTAACAGGTTAGTTAAGCTGGTCAGTTAAAGGTATTTTTATAATATAGGATCATTTGCATTTATCCCAAAAGTAACCTACCGAGTTATTGTCAAAAACCTTACTTGGATTAAAGATTGTACAGGTACTAAACACCCTGTGAAATCATTCCGTCTGGCTTGCTGTCATTTGTAGGTGATTTCCAACGATCAGCCAAAATTGTGTTTCCTGGTAAGAAGGTTATTCATGGTTTTTCACTGTTTTCTCACAAAGTGTAATATCCACTGAGCTGAATCAGGATTGAAACATTCTTCTTTGGATTTGAGTGGGGTTATTGTTGGAAACAATGAAAAGCAAATTATGCCTTTAACTGGTTAATGAATTTACAAAAGTAATGACTATTTGAGAAGGAACTAGATCTACATGCACTGGAAATCCACAGCTCTGCCAGGCAAGGATTAATTGAACCGGTTCCTTAATCCAAGTTGGCATTTTTTGAAGTTAGTCAACCAGACTAATTCAATAAGCCATTGACCATTCGAGCGCACCGTTGTTACGTCGCCTTCATTGGCTACCAATTCAAGCACGCATAAATTTCAAACTTCTTGTCATTGTATACAAATGTATCAACTCTATGGCACCTTCATATCTCTAAGAACTCATCTCCTTCAACACATATGTCTATGCCACCTGCTCATCATTTGACAAAACACGTCTCCATAACCCCGAAACTAAGTCGCGTACTGGAGATCATGCCTTTCAAGCCACTGCTCCACGGCTGTGGAATTCCCTTCCCCGTAACATCCGGGAAGCCAACACACTTCAGCTCTTCAAAAATAGACTCAAAACCATTTATTTGTTTAATCATGCCATATGTTACTTTGCTTGTATAGGTTTTTTGCTTGTAATGCATTTTTTGTTTGTATCCTTAATTATTTTGTCAGCTTTTGTAAAGTGCTCCGATCTTTGTGGGGCGCTATAAAAATACCTATATGTATGTATGTATGTATTTGCGAGTGACCTATACCCTTTGGGACATAAATTTGAAAAACATCTGGTACACTGACTTGCTCAGAATGCTTGGCACATTTTAACTTTGAATTCTCCTGACCAAAGACACTGTTGCTAATCACATGATTCGGGGCAAGCTCTTGCATAGTTACGTAAGACAGGCTCAGCACCAATACATTGTTCACAATGGGTGAGAATGGCACAAAGACACCAGACCATGCCAGAGCTGGGGGTTGCTAGCATAAGGCGTGCCCCGAATCACGTGATATAGTAACAGTCTCTTTGGTTGGGAGAATGCAAAGTTAAAACATACAAAGCATTGGATTAAGTCAGTGTTCAAGATTTTATTCAAATTGAACTCGCAAATGGCTTATTGGCAAAGTTCACAATTTCAACCAATCTAAAGGTACCATGGATGACGGTAGCAGTCCCGACATCGTCATGGCAAACACAAGCGCAGGGTCCGGCACGCCCTCGGTCATCCAGCACAACGGCCAGCCGGGGATCATGGGAGGCTGCCCAATCACGTCCATGACGGCGCTGGAATCCACCCAATTACAGCACGCCATTTACAGCATGGCACAGCAGCAGGGTGGGATGAAAACGAGCCCTGCGACCCATCCCTCGCACATGGTTAGTTTCAGAATATTTGGATAACACACATTTTTTTATTTGAAAGTGGGTATGGCGGTAAATTCAGCATGGAGGTAAATTCAGCATGGAGGTAAATTCGGCATGGATGTAAATTCAGCATGGAGGTAAATTCGGCATGGAGGCAAATTCAGCATGGAGGCAACTTTAGCACAGTTGTAAATTATCTGAATATGTATAGACATCAGATGTTCTCTCAAGTCAATCACAATTCAACCAGTCTAAAAGCAAGTGACATGCCGTACAAATTAAATGGTGATAAAGACATTTCTTTGTCACTGCACTTGTGATTGACTTGTGATCGACTTGACTAAAATGCTGATATTTAAAGATATTTTGGGAAAAATTTAATGGAGTTATCAAGCAGGCGAATTAACTGAATACAAACAAGTTTTGCTCAGCGAAAATAAGACGTCCTTAAAAAAAAATAATATGATGCGGGAGACAGGACTTTAGTAATGGTTCGAAGAAAATGGTCCATTAACCCGTAACTCCTGAAGCAAACTTAGCACGACTTACTTTGCCCAAAACCTCCAAAATCCCCAGTGGATTTGAAAGACGTCTAGAAAGTTTAGAGAGTTAAATAGTCTGCTTGTCTAAGTTTGAAAACTCAAAAATCAAACTAACCTGCTTCGAATAAATGAACGTTTCCTTTCCTCATCTTTGCCTCCAGGTAACCATGCCGACGTCCACCAAACTGCCTCCAGTCAGCTCGTTGTCAGCGGTGACCAATTACAACCAGGCAGCGTCGCGGCTGAGCCTACAGGGCATGGTGTGCACAATGCAGCAGGGTCACTCACAGCAGCAACAGCAGCAACAGCAGCAACAGCAGTCGCAGCAAGTGCACTCGCACAGCAGGCAACCATCACAGATGGTGCAGATGCTGCAAGGAACACAGGGACAAAACACTGGTCAGTTAAATTTCAAAATTAGGTGTTTTTTTCCTGAGCCAGAAAAGTCAAAAGCCCGCTAGATATTCAAAGCTTAATACTTTTGAGTTAAAGGTAGAGCGGACCGTTTGCAGCTATCCAAAAAAGACCGACCAAAATTTTGCTAAAAGGCTTACTGGGTTTAAAGATGGTAATGACACTAAACTCCCTGTGAAATTATTCCTTCTGGCATGCTGTCATTTTGGGTTAATTTAAAGTTAAATTTCACTCACTTTTTTTCTATCCAGCTGCCGTGATACAATCCCACAGTCCGGCGGTCAGCGTCCATCGCCTGACCACCCTCAACTCCACCACCCAGCCTGACCACCACCCACCCCACTACACGGTGGCCTCGCGGCAGGTTGCGCAGCAACGAAGATCTCAACAGCAGCAGCAACAACAACAACAACAGCAACAGCAACAGGGGCAAACACAACAGCAGCAGCAACACCAGCAGCAACATCAGCAGCAGCAGCAGCAACAGATGGCACAGATACAGCAGAATCTGCAGAGTCTGATCGAGCCAAGCTTCCTGCAACAGCTCAGCCAAGGTGGGTGGTCGCATTATTCCAGCAAGCTGAAAAATGGGGGAAAATTCAAAGAATCTTGGACCTTATGTATTATTATAAGAAGCAAATTTTATTGGGCTGAGCACAAAGTTCTGTTGAGCATAGAAAACATTTGCTGAGAAAAGACAGGTTTAATACTATGACAAAGTATGTGAATTTAAGCAGATGCTAAGAATCCTACAAAATTGTAACTGATTATCTTTTTTTAAGGAAAAAACAAGACAAAAATATGTCGATTACAATATTTTGAAATGATTTAATCATCCTTAAACCTTTGGTCACTGTAGCGCCCGAAAGCACCCTACCCATTACTCACTGCAGTGTCCAGAACGCCTGATCACTCTGTAGATTTATTGATTAAACACAATGTAATACAATGTAGTACAGGCGCTTATCAGTTAATGTCACTGTCTACATGATAACAGACATTTTGTAGGTATACAACAAGAAGTCAGGACACTGAACAGTTTTTGGTCAAATTGTCAGAACTTAATGTCGAAAAAAAAAGCAGCGCTTATACAAACGAGGTGACATTTTGGCTACAGTTCCAGCAGAAGCCATTCAGAGTATTGACTGACATGTTCGGGGCGTTTCCCAGATACCACCACAACCTCAGCAACACTTGAAAATCATTTTTTTTGTTAGTCTCGGGTCAAAGTGTTATTGATGTACTTATCTACATATTGCAGTAGGTTAGTTCAGTATGATGCAATCACATTCCCAGAGGCGTCTTGTTATAAGACTACCTTTTACGACATAAATACTTCCAATAATAAGCGTCTCAGCAAAGCCACCAATCTTAACCTGATTCGTCCATTAGTGCTACATTCTTTTTAATCCAATTTGCAGTAATGAACCAACCAAAGGAGACCAAATTGAACCTGCCCCAGTATAACAAGCACCATTCACATCTTGACTTTATTAAAGACTAACATGGTATCAACCAATGAAACACTTCACCTGATTGGTCAACCAGTAGTTTGACTGACAGTTTTTGTCCATCATTATCTTTCAGCAATGAACCATCCGAAAGAGACTCAATTAAACCTGCCCCAGTATCTTCTTGAGCACCAATCACATCTTGACTTAAGACTAACATGGTATCAACCAATGTAACACTTAACCTGATTGGTCAATCAGTGTTTTGATGGACAGGCTGTTTCACCATTGTCTTTCAGTAATGAACCAACCCAAGGAGATTCAATTAAACTTGCCAGGGCAACATCATCAACACCAATCGCCCCACATCCATCAGGAAGTCACCATCCCGGTCAACGTATCGGGCGGCGTCACCATGACGACGCTGGCCACGCTCAGCCCAATCAAGATCTCGGACATGGCCGAGCTTCCCATGAGCATCCAAACCAAGCAGAGGGAAGGCAACATCACGATCGTGTCGGCACCAGCTGGCACCACGCCGGACGAGATGGAGGATTCTAAGGCGGGCGTGATACTGCAGAGGGCCGTTAGCGGAAGGTACGTCCGTCTCTGACGCTCATTACATCTGACAAATCACCAATATTCTCCCTCTGGAATCATACCTGCATAACATCTCAAGCTATTACATCAGGGGATCTTACACTCTCTGTGTTGTCCGAACTTATGTTTTTAATATCTAAAAATATATGGTGTATACAACTCTGATACATATGTGGCATTCCCCCATCATTCCACTGGATCTATATCGACCAATATTGATGCACTATTACAGTAGGGAATGTTACACCCTCTGTGCTGTTGAATAATGATGAATTCACAAACAAAATCATCCCCTCTGAATATGTACCAGCCAAAATCAATGCGCTTTTACATCAAGGGATGTTATACCCTCTGTTTTATCTCGCTCATGATTTATACTGGTCAGCCAAGTATGATCCGCTGTTACAGCAAGGGAGGTTACCCCCTTTGTGCTATCCACAATATGTTTTTAATATTTAAAAATAGTGTGGTGTGGATTTCAAGCGATTGTGTTTTTTTTCCCACAAATGTCGAAATGAAAGAGCTTAGCAAGGCCAATTTTCTTAAAATTGGTTGATAACTGCCACAAAGTAGTAGGAGTTTTGTGATTTTCGACTTCCTTGCAGTTGGCTTTAGTTTTTAGTGTGAACAAAGTTGTCAAACAAAATAGAAATATTTCTGGTTACGATATATTTTCATTATAATATGTCTGCGCTGGGTTTTAAAATGTTCAATCTCTTGAATCCAATTTCTACTTTTAATTCCCAAATTTCCGAATTCCTTTTTAAACTTTTAAATTTGGTAATCAGGACGACATATTTCTTGAGATTTTGTACAAACCGTCAGCATTATTTGAGCAATGATATTGTGATAAACCGTCCTGAGATGACAAGATATTTTTGACATGAAAACTACGAAATTTTTACTGATATGGATTGGAATTCTCAAAAGACCCTATATAGCATCAACAGTTTGACTTACAATTATTTTTTGGCTAGTTTAGATGAAATAAAAGGTAATGTTTTATGGTGCTAGCGTAATTTCAAATGTTTGAAAAACGGTTTTCTTTTATTGCTACTGAGGTGTACATATTCTAGCTGTAAATAGTTATACAGTGCATGAGAAGATAAACTACAAAGGTTTTATTGAACTGACTGTGACCTCTTTTGGCTTGTAAATTACTGCATACTGTAAAGATACATTTCACAAAACGATATTTGACTAAACAGTTTGGTTGTTGTTTTCCATTCCCCCCATACATTCAGTGGACTCCTTTCCAACATTTTCATGTTATACAAAAGCACTTGTTTCTGTGAATTATTTTGGGTCTTAAACATCTTTTTAAAATTGTGTTCATGAATCTTTGGTTTGAAGGGAGAATGTTGCTGTATTCAGGGTGACCCAAAACAAGTTGTGCAAGCAGACATCTTTAGTTTTCTCAACAGTATCCAACATCAGCATTTCATGTTGATGGAGTAATATTGTTTGTACTCGTGTGTGTAATCACAGTGAAAATCTGATGAAAATCCATTCATGCAAACCAAAGATTATAAATGGCAATGTGTTTTTCACCCGTTCCAATGTGATTTATACACTGTTAATGAAAAGACCAATTGCAGAGTGCCGGTTGAGCGATTTCCAATGCAATGTGTACTTCCCATTGGAATGGTTGAAAAACACATATCCTTTTATAATCTGTTACTGCTCTGGTTTGCATGAATGGGTTTTCCATGACATTTTTACTGACTATACACAAGAGTATAATGAATATGCTCCATCAAAATGACATACTCATGTGAGGTACTTTTTGAGAAATATAACGATATCTGCTGGCACAACTTTTTTGGGGTCACCCTGTAAAAACATGGACGTGGGGAAAATTGTAGCTGTCAAGAAACTACTGAAGGTGCCACAATACCTATATTTAATTGTAAATAAATTTCAGGTTTGTTTTGCGGGAATTAAATAGTTAAGAATAAACTGTTGTCGAAAGGCTGGTTCATAATTCACGCAAAAGCGAATAATACAAAGCTGGTTTGATGTCACTAAACATTTGCAGCGAAATTCGCTAGAGCTGAAATGATGTCAAAGCTTGCCATGACGTCACACGTTCGTGTTTGCGTATGAACATGCCTTAAAGACCAATTTACACATGCTGTTGCGCATTTTTATAAATACACACAAATGAATGAGAGATAAGATGTGTGACTTTGTCGCAAAAATGTAAACGCACTCACTGACGTGGTATCCATGTAAACAGACTGTGGTACATGTAGCTATTAATTGCAATGCTGCTAATTTTATTCATTTTTTTTCTGTAATCGTACAACAGTTTACATCGGAATTGTTTTTAGTAGTTTTCTTGGTTGTGCGGGAATCTTTCTTTTTACATAACAAGGTTTGAAAACAGCTTTTAAAAAACCTGAATACATTGTACATGTATTTGTGGAATCCTTGATGTAGGTGTACAACATATGGTGCAGCCTACATAGACATGTACTGGTATTCAGATAAAAGACAAACACCAGTTTAAAGCTATAGTCCATCATTTGCAGCCATCCGAAAAAGTAACTGGCGTATTATTGTTGAAAAACATACTTGGTTGAAAGATAGTAAGTGGACTAAACTCCCTGTGAAATTAATCTTTCTGGGAAGCTATCATTCTGAAGTAATCAACGAAAGAAGGCCTTTCCATCGCGTAGGAAAATTTCAATTAATAGTTCGTTTTGTTATTCGGCGCAGCGCGCGCAAGCATTGGCACGACGCACAGGCGCGCGCGGTTGCTATAATTCGTCGGATCAGTGCGCGACATCGCGTATAGCTGCAATTCAAAAACAATTCAAAACATGATTCAGCAACTTTTTATTTGAAATCGAGATCCTAGAATGCTGTTTTTCTCGGAATATACAGCTGAAGCTGAGCTGAAACTTCATCAGGTTAGTTGTTCAGCATCCTTCATTAGATTTTGAACACTTTTGTTGCTTCAAACGAACAAAATGCACAAATTACAAATGATGGACTATATCTTTAAAAAGAAGTGTTCAGGGGATGTCAAGTCCTGAAGAGAATACAGGATCCAAAATTACAGAAGTTTTCTCAAAGGCCAATTGATGCAATTAAAAGATGATTACTGAAAAATTAAATTTGGTACAACGGGTGTTTTACCATACCATCTGAGATTTGTTTCCCCAGAAATATGAATCTTGGTTGTAATATGCAAAACTTTACAATAATTATAACTCACAAGATGCTAACTACACAATACATGCCAAACTTTTTACAGTTTTTAACTGCCCTTGGAGAAAATTAATCATTGAGTGAGCTCAATTTTTCGGCAGATTTTAAATATTAAATCCTCCGAATTTATCCTAAGATATTTTTTTTGAGTTCCAAGAAAATTGAACACTTTATTTTTGGACCCTGTATTCTTCACACTGTTTGTATAGCGTATAGATGTTTAAAGTGTTGATCTCTTGCCTGTAAATATATGTTTCAATGTGTTGTGTTGTTGTTGGGTTCTGTTGTTGTAAGCTGTGTTTTCTGTGCCTAACGAGGTACCATGTCATGTAAAAAAGTCTTTTGCTAAAAAAAAACTTTGTTTCAGGTTTCAGAAGCTGGGATTGTACATGGTTATTTTCATCAAATACTATTATTTTTTTGGCCTTGTGAAATAAGCTTTTTTCCTGCCTTCAGCCGGTGATATTGCTTAGGTATAGCTCGTCCGTTTGTCCATGTTCAGTGATTATCCATTCCAAATACTTAGACGAAAACTTAATCTGGATTGCTTAATTTTTCGTCGTTTAAATGCAGACAGTGCTTTCCACTTTTGCTTAATCTGCTGTCAAAAAGAGTTGAAGGGCGTATCTTAGAGTGAAAATAGAAAAATACCAAGAGTTATATTTGGATGTAGGCGATACATTCTAGAACTTATCTATTTTTTTCTTTTATGTTACGGCATCACTGCAAGTGCAGCAAAGTTCAAGTAAAATGACTCAGCACCCGAATTCCGCCTTTAGAAATCACACAAACCCACCACCGCCGCACAGGACCTGTATCAGGGCAACGGACACGCTATCTCCGGCGTAACAGATAAGGAAACACAATGCGAAGTGAGATGCTTGCACGTGCAAACCCCGCCTTTTTTTTTCATGAACAATTTAAAAGGGGTCGATTAGAACGTTTCAGTTCACCGCCCTGTTGGTTAGCGATACTTTTTTTTCTGTCTCTTTTGGGTTTTCTTTGTTTTTTTTTATAGTATGGATTGTTATAGCGTGTTCGGTGCACGTAACCTTTCGAAAGCACTTTGGATAGCACGGTTACCGGTTGCCTGGTAACCCGTATTTAGGTCACACAGTACAGTGACTGCTGCGTGTCACAACGACGGGCCTGCCACTCACCGTACAGCACTTTGACCATGTTCAAACACAGATAAAATTGCCTTTGAGATGCGAGTTCTGGCCATCAACTACAAAAAAAAAATTGTTTTGTTTTTCTAATACATACACAGTCAGAGTTATAATAATTGAGACCTGGAGATTTTTTGTCTCCAACCAAGTTTTTTGAATCTCAACTACACCCCTATAATCAGTTGGCCCAATTCGTTCATTGTAAGCCTTCATTTCTAAGATAAATTTCCAATTTTAAATTTGTATCCTTTTAAAAACAATTTCAAAGCTCAAAGCAAAAATAAAAAACTACGTCAAAGAGTGTATTACTAGTCTGACCTGTGTAACAAAACTATAATTTAATAGTCATGGATTAAAAAATCAAAATTGCAGTAATGATCAAAGTTCACTTATGCCAAAAAAAGTGCAAAATGTCATTGTATGCCTCACATTTTGACGAAACATGAACTTGAAACTTTGAACTTTTTCCCCTAAAGGAAGACAATCTTTTCTTGGTTGGTTTCAGCAGAAATTGTACATTATATTGATAGTGACCATCAACATACACATGTACAAAACCTACATGTCTATTTTTATAAACCTGGCCTAAACTGCATCTCCTGAGGTATCCATGGCAACATGCTTACGTTTCTTGAACAGGTGATGTAATAAAGAGGGAAAACCTATGGGCTGGGCAGGGGGGGGGGGGGGGGGGTTGTAGGTAACTCAAAGAAGGTTCGAGAAAGGATGGTAAGTGTAATGTGATGACCTTGAATGTGATGACCTCGATCGCGTGCATATTCGGAATGTTCCTTGAGTCCAGGGTCCAATCACGGGCCCTCCATGTGTATGGCATGCAGGGCACCGGTGGTAACCGTGACTCAGGCAATTCCCATCCAGTGATGAATCATGGCTTAAAAATCTGGATTACCGGTGTATCCAAGTTTGAAGTGCTGTAGAAAAGGTTAAAGATACGTGCATCTACACACGTATATGACCCGCCCTTGTTTTTTTAAACCAGGCAAAGTTTCCGGGGCTGTTCTGATGATTCATCTACGTTGAATATTAATTAGTGGAAAATCACGACCACGTAGATTTGGTGACCATGACTGGTCAAATCATTTAATCATTCTGAAGATCAATGAAAAGATATTTTACTCAGATGAAAGTATCAGTAAAACTAATTTTGGTGGATAGTTACCAATTTTTGAAAAAAACATATTTTGTCTTTCCTGAAAAACATTCAAGATGTGAAGGAACTTTACTAAAAACTAAAAGCAAGTTACATGCACATTTCAGTGAAAATTTTACTTAGCAAAAAACAACTTGGGGGATGGATAAAAAGGGTTAAAATAATTACAAATAGCTCATTCTAGTTTAGAAAACTTGAAAAATTACTATGACAAAAAACTGCTTATCAAAGCATGCACATGGGCTTTTATACCTGGTTTCCATGACGACCTCACTTTTTTTCCGAGCATTTTCTGTTTAACCTTTCCGATACAATTTTGTTCACTAAAAATGTGATTTGTTTCTTATTTTTTCCCTGAGTTCAATGGGATTAGCTGCGTTTTTGTAAAAATCAGGGTTCTGTGTTTAGAATCTGATAAGCAGAGAAGTTGACTTTTGCTAAGTCATATTGCTGTACTGTAAATGAAATAATAAGCAAATTTTGCCAAAGATGTAATTATTTAATTAAAAAGATTTCTTCAGATGCACACTCAAAAATTGAAATCTGATTTTTGCCAAAGTTGTAATTTATTGTGATTCATATCTATTTATGATAATTACATGTCATTGTTTTATGCTAATTTTATAAAGATTAACAAAAAATACATTCATGATGACTACATGTAAAAGAATCAAAAATTGTTTATATGCAAATGTTTTTTTCTTTTTCTTTGTACATATATTTATTGAGCTAAGCATTTCTCTTGAAATTAAAAAGTGTGAGAAAAAAGAAATCCTGAAGGTGGTGGACATTTTCATTTTGTCTGATTAGTGTCGCGGTCAAGTTCAATGCTTGTAATTTAACCAGTTCACGCTGGGATTATTTTGACAAGAACAGAACGGGGCCCAGGATTACTTTTCGCTCGAACTCAAGCCAGGCGGGTTGAAGCAATCACCCTCATGCAGCACACTCATATTTATGGCCTCGCTCGCTGCGACCGGGTCGCTGACAGATATTTCCGGCCTCGGTCCCTGCGTGCTTTATCCGTCATCCGTTCCGAATACCACAAAATCTTTGTGGGTAGTCACGTCATCCAGCGCGAACTGGTTAAGAGAAGTTTCAAGATAGTATCGGATACATCAATAATCTAATAGATTCTAAAGCATCCTTAAATTGCATTCCCCGTGCTTTTCAAATTCTATTTTTTTTTCATATTTATAAGTTGTAACTTGTATGTTTCTTTACAACCCCAAAAACCCTCATTTTTCCTTTTTGGACATATGCAACCCTCAGAAAAAAGGGTTTGGTTTCAGGTGCAAACAGATCTGCTTTGCAAGCAAACTGGCTCCCAGTCTGTACATGATTGATGATACTCGTGGGGCGGGAACCAGCCTTATCCACGAGAACGAATTATATATTGCCTTGCAGCCAATAATTCAAACTTATTATGTGCTAATTTGATAACTAAAAACATGGGCCAATTTTTTGGGTCAATGTCTCATTCAAAGTGAATAAGTTCTGCATTGCTAGAAAAAATAGCAATTTAGAAAAGGAATCTATTTTTCTGGATGCAACTCGAAAATAGCATGGCGATCGCAACTTTATTTTGAAAATTTGACACATTTTGTATGTTGAAGGGAACACATGGTTAGTTGGGATTGACTGACCACTATCAGTTCAAAACACAACCTTTTGCCAAATCACAAGTCAAGTAGGGATGTGCATCGCCAAACAATTTCTCGGGGGCATTCAGAAAAGTCAATGTTTAAAAATTTCAATCTTTTTTCGAAAATTGTTTTGACCCATCCGCCCTCAATTTTGATTTTTAAATGTTGAATGACTGTACCATATATGGTATACACTTAAGTACAAAGTAATGCTTCAAATGAAGCAGATATTTTATTAGGTCAATGCTCATTGCTCTCCCAGCTCAGGAGTTTTCAATGGCTTTTCCAGGCTTCCGGCATGCAACTTTGTAGTTGAAACAGAAGAGAAAATTGCCAAGCACACAAAACTTTACACAAGGTTTTTTCAGTTTTCTATGACACTATATTTAAAAAAAAATCAATGTATAGAACGGTGATTTCAGCCTTGTTATGATAAGCTTTTGCTGTGTCCAAAAGTATTGTAGATGCGGCGGGATCTCACACAAAAATACACGCGTGATGGTGGCCAAGATTATCGCACAAAACATGTCAGCGCTGCACTAGTCTTCAATTCAAGCCTGGTTTCACCGCTGAGTGAGCGCCACTGATATACCGAACCCTGTTGTACTGCCATATTGGCCTGTGCGCATTGTACCAAAAAACACCCAACCATTACCGACTTGTAATGAAGTCTATTTCAATATTTATGCTAAACCCAACCTCGTCCCCATATGCTCGAAGAGTCACTCACGCGATCTCCCCATTTATCTACCGTTGGAACGAGGTGGACTATCGAGATGCAGAGATCGGCTATTGAAATAAGGTTAACCGATGACAACGGAACAGCACAGACATGACAGACATGACAGACGATCTCAAAGAGGCCGCTGGGTATTTTGGGGGGTTTTATCCCTTCTCCTTTATTATTAAACTGGATTTTTGATATTCAAATACTTGATTTTGAAATGTACTGACCAAGTTAAACATGCGCCAACCGAAATTGGCCACCAAACAGGATTTGCTTGTGTGCCTGCGCTTGTCAAAAAAATTGACAAACGCCTTATTTCAATAATATAAAGAACAGGTAGCAGTGGTTGATATTTGACCGATTTTAAAGATGTTATTTGAGATAAAGTTCCTAACGAAAGCTCTCAAATCATGCCTGAAAATGGCTTATAACAAAGGTGTGGCATTTGATAATTTATACAATTTTCTTCGTCTCCTGGGGATCACTTAAATTTTTCGAATATCTGAATTAAGAAAATGTTTGTCTGTATATTTGGCATAACCCAAAAGTCAATCACAAGTACGTTAATCACATGTCAATCACCAGTCAATAAAAAGTCACACAAGTCAGGTCACCAGACACTGGGAATTAAAAATATGGTTCTGTCAGAGTTCATGTTTTAAATTACCAGTATACTTGACTTTTATACTAAATGACTTGAACATGGCATGTGATTGGCATGTGATTGACATGTGATTGACTTGTGATTGACATGTGAGTGACATGTGATTGACATGTGATTGACTTTGATGACTCTCCTCTCTCTGTGAGCAATCTGGCAATGCAACCTTTTTCCATGGGAATAGTTACTGTAACCCATGAGCTCTCAATTGAGAATTGTATTTTTTTCCCTACAATATTCATATTGGGATTCGAGCACGGGTACCTTAACACTTTTTATCCAGTATGAAACATTTCGTGAACATGGTTCCTTCCATAATGAAACTTTTTTTCCCAAAAGGAATTTTCTGGAAAACCAAGCATGTTCAAAAGTTTGAGTTGTTCCAAAAACAAAAAAAAATTCTGCACAACACAGTAAGATCTTTCACAGCAGCCTACACAGCCAAACTTTTCACATTTTCTGTTCAACAGGTTTGCTCCGTGAATTGTCGCACTGTCACCTAAGAGACGTTTCAGAATCGACGCCATGAATCGTTTGTGGTGCTGTATCTTGGCTCTTTCCCATTTTCTTTTTCTTCTTTTTCCGCTTCTTCACTTTCCGTTCGGATTGTTCAGAAGTCACCTCCTTTCCATTTTCAAAATCTTTTGGTTGTTGTCCATTATGCTTTTCTTCGCTTTGGTTGTTTTCAATCACTTTTGGCAAACCAGATTCATTCAATTTTTCCACGGCCTCAGAAATAGAAGTTGTTTCTGTCTTTGTCTTCTTCTTCCTCCTCTTCTTCTTCTTTTTCAATTCAGTTTCACTGCCGATTCCCTCCGCAAGTCCCTTGTGTCTTTCAGGTTCAGAATCACGTGGTGCATTGCAAGGAATCGACTGTGAGGATTCGGCAGGGGTCAGAGTTGAATGTGGGTTAGTAGGTGAAAGGTTAGAGGTCACCTGGGGGTCTTGCGAATCCGGATGCCAGCTGCTGCTGCTCTGCAGGATTTGATCGTAAGAGACGGCCACTGAAGACAATTTGGCTCTCTCTTCGTCTGAGTCACTAAAATGTGGGAAAAATACAACACACTGGTTGATAAGTATGAAGAATTTCAATCTCAAAAATTGCATCTCTCCAAAGTGGTTTAACACTGTAGTCACTGTACCGCCCAAAACCGCCATACCTATTACTCGCTGTAGCGCCCAAAACCGCCCTGCCTATTACTCACTGTAGCGCCCAAAACCGCCCGGCCTATTACTCACTGTAGCGCCCAAATCCGCCCGGCCTATTACTCACTGTAGTGCCCAAAACCACCCTGCCTATTACTCACTGTAGCGCCCAAAACCGCCCTGCCTATTACTCACTGTAGCACCCAAAACACTCAAGTGCTCTATGGTTTTATTCATTCTTCGGCAAATAAACACAATGTAGTACAATGAAGTACAGGTGCTAATGGGAATATCTTTCCATGCACAAGTCTTCAACTGAAGTGGTGAAAAAAATTGAGCAATTAATGGAATCCTTTGAAGATAAAAGTTGTTTCTGTAGAATGGAAACATATTTTTTTTTTCATTTTGCACAGACATTTGTGTTCCAGCTACCATTTACCGAAGTGATATGCTGGAGATGCACTTAAGAAAAAAAGGAAAGGAAAAAGGAAAAAAAAATGTGAAAAAATATATGCAGAGGGTATTGCAAACCTTAACAGTAATATTGTCAACACAATTATGGGTGTATAAAAGTTGCAGGCCAGTAAATAGGTTACACCTCTATGTTCCGACACCCCTATGTTCCGACTGCACATATTCCTATTCCTTACCCTAACCCTAACCCTAACTGGGAGTAACACAATCTAGGTTGTCGGAACATAGGGGTGTCGGAACATAGAGCAGTCACCAGTAAATATGCCAAAAATTTGCATGCCCTCAAATTCTCTGTTATATTAGAGAGCTTTGTGGCCCATGCAGTTAAGGATTTGTAAAACTGAAGGGTGGAGGCTCTGAACAGGACTTTGAGCTTGTATTTCTGCAAGATTTGGTTGAAATTAGGCCTTACAAAAAATGGCTCTATTTTCCAATGGAGTGGAGGGATCATTTTTCAAAATGGCAAGAAACCTCAGGACTTTTTTTAGGGGCGATCATTTTTGGGGTCAAATTTCTCCCAAATGTCATTGGCTTAAAATAAAAAAAAAATTGAACAGAAAGTGATCAAATAAGCTTGATGTTCGAAGAGTTGTGAGTATTTTTCCTGATTTTTGTAATTGAGGGTATTTACCATTGGGGTCTATGGCAATATATTTACTGGTCTGTAGCCATAAAGACAAAAATATAATAAAGTGTGTGTGCTACAAGCCCACTGACAGGTATATTTGAATCCAACAAATGGACTGTTGGGCCAGTCTAGCTCACCTGTCACTACTGCTTGATGGAGGGCGCTGTTTCCTTTTAACAGCCTGGGATTCCTCCTTCACTGGGAGGCCAAGCTTTGAGGTAGAGAACAGATGGAAATCATCTGAATAAAAAAACCAAAAAAACGAGAATTGTCTTTTTAACCAGTTCGCTTCGGAGGACATGATAACACGCACTGGCTGTTTTTATACACAGGCATGGGTGGCAGGTTAAAACGTCAAGATTGCCTCGACTCTCCTCCGGGTGACGTCTAAACACGCTAATCCCTAATGCCTTTTGTACACACACACAAAGTCTGTGAAGTCTGTGGAGGGGGACTGTGTGTTGATCTTGAATTGGCCGTTGTGCATGGCCTATTGTTGTATAATTTACGCTCCGGAGTATTGAAACATATGAGGTTTCAGCAAGAAATATTGTACAAATACTGTTGAAGTGATTCTTGCGAATCAGTATTGGTGGCATTTGGCTGTATTTCAGAAGTTGGCTGGAAAATTGTGCCTTTTGGCGCAAAATGGTTAAATTGCATTTATCGTGAAATAATTACAGATATTGAAGAAAAGTTGTAAACCCCCAATCCATTCTTGTTTCTGGGTTGTGGGGAACACACACGGAATGTAAATTATTGTGGGTCCACAAAACCTACGGAGGAAATTTATGCGTTTCCACAACTTGGTCCAAGTTAACCTAAATATACAAATCTTTCGAACATTCTGTAAGCATTCAAAAATTACCACCTATCAAATTTCACAGCATTCTATTTGGGGATGGGGTTTCTCATTAGTCTGAGAATTTGGGACTCTCAAAACTGTGTGTGAGAGTCTCAAAACTAAAGATAGTGAAAACATGCAACACAAGAAAATAGACTGGCATCTGAAACAACCAGTCCCACACCACTTCAGTACTGCATCAATCAACTGAGTCAACAGAAACATCTGGTAGCTAGTCTCTATTTCTACACATTCTCCCCATAGTCATCAGGTCGTGCCACGAGACTATAGACATTTATCATGCTTCCACCATTTTAGTCATGTTCCCTGTATCCAATAACAGTACTGAATGATAATGTTTTTGTACAAAAAGGAACCAGACTATTTTTCCTTCCAGCCTCACTTTGGTTACATTGGTCTGAATGGGAAAAATCAAATGGCTGCAACATGATAATGGTCTACTGAAGGGTCAATCTTTTCAAAAAGTTGGACATGTACCAGTCTAGCCTTTGGCTTCAAATTAAAATCACTGGCTTGGCTTCACTCTCAGGTGCAAAATGTTGAAGGAAAGCCTCCTTTAAAAATTGAATTGAGACCTCAAACTACGCTGGTAAAAAACAGAGTTCTTTGCCTCGTGAAAATTTTGGAGAATTTTGTCGGCTAAAGAGTGAGTAGAGTTGGCCTGAGTTTATTTTGCATGTTTTTCTGCACTCAATGGTCCCAGTCTGGTTTCTCATAGAAGCAAGTGGAAATGCTGCAAGATATTTAACATTTTTTCATGTACCTACCATCAGGATTATCCACTGCGGCCACTGCAGTTGAGCCGCCTGATGTCTGTCCATCAATGACTGATATGGAACTGGGGAGATCAACAGAAATCTTATTTAATCTTCTTTTTATACCTGTTACCTGAAGGGGGAAAAATCTAACTATGTAATACATTTAAAAAAATAATGACACAACTGGAAAAAAGGCCAGCAATCATCATGGATTACACAACACCTGAATAAATCCCCGTCATCTGATTGGTGGGTTGTTGATCACATGTCGTTGAATCATTCATCCCAACCCACGGCCCAGCCGCACTGTAAACATTGAAGTTCTATTCCACGGTAAATAGAAGTTCCATTGCACGGTCACACGTTGGTGGCTCTGACCAATCAGATGACGAGGATTTATTCAGGTGTTAAATGAATGTTTCACATTCCCACAATGGAAAGAGTAATTTAATTCAGGGACAGATGAACTATTCCATCCATCTGTTACCTCATGAAATTATTCTTACCATTGCACTCATAAACTCATGGATAGGTCTATTCCTGCAAAATCCTACACGAATCTCTTTGTGGATTTTAAGGGATCTGGAATGTCGTAAACATCTGCTACAGTGCAAAGATGCATTACCTATCCAGCCAGGAAGTAAGTTTCTTGGCAATGAAGGTCTTCACCTCAGGTGTGGCATCAACGTTTCTGTAATCTCCCTGCTCTTCAAAATCTTCTTGGTTTCTGCAAAGGGAAAATTAAGCAGAAATTGTAGTTTAATAACCTATTTTTGAGCAACTTTTATTAAAAGATGTGTTATTTTTGGCTGTACATAACTTCTTTCAAAAAAATTTTTTTATAACAAATTTTGTTTAAAAAGCTCTACAAAGTAATGTTGAAATATAAAATTTTATGAAATATACTTGACTGTAAAAAATTGCTAAATATGTTTCCCCCTGTATTATTTCAAAACTACCTCAAACTCTTCTTTTGTTCAGTTCCAATGCCCGATTTAGTGCCTGAAAAGGAAAGCAATACAGTGGGTATAAAAGTGGAAAGAACCTTCAAGCACAGATACAAAGGGGTAACTGCCGAGGGGGGGGGGGGGGTGCAGGGGTGAGGGTGGGGGGGGGGGGAGAGAGAGAGGGGTGCCGGGGTGGGGGTTGGGGGTGCCAGGAGGGGGGGGGGCAGAAGGGCTCTCTCAAGTGAAAAACAACCTTATTTGAGACAATTTTGGATCCACCACTGACCTTACAGGTAAAATATAAAAAAAAAATTCAAAAAAAAAAAATTCAAAATATCTAGACCCCACCTTTCGGGAATACTGTTGGGTCGGTCAGGTTACCGAAAACACAGCATTTTTTTTACAGGCCTAAGCATAGGAAAAAAACACAAAGGAAGAGAAAAACAAAGAAAAATGTAAAAAGAATTTGTCATTAAAACATCACGTATCGCCATTAGCCAGTCGCAGTGCGACAAATAATTCATGTGACCAAACCAGCCTCTGAAAAGCTCCTGAAACAAGCCATTTAAAATTCATCATCATCCACTTTATAAATGTGTTGTTTTTTTAACAGAAACACCACAGATTACAGTATAATGTATATATGGGCTCCGTGCGCCGACAAAAGAGGGCACCCTTTTACCTAGCAACGACGTCCCATGGGCGGGACATTTCACTGGTTGACGCGCACCGTTCCTTGTGTGTGACGCATGTACACCTGGGGATTTGTACTATGTACACACAGGGGCCGTGCTTTGCGGCAAATGAATTGCAGTCAGGCAAGATGGCGTTGGTCGGTCACCCCCAACTGTACTTCTTTGCCGGTAAGGGGGTGCTTGTGAACAGAGCGGATACTTTATGATTTTCACTTTGAATGCATTTTTGGTGATAAAAAATAAATCATTAATGTATATTTTGAAGGAAAATTGTACGACGCTATTGCACTGAAATTTGACTGCAATATATGTTCAATCGCGTCTATTCTGACTTCAGCGGAGCCAGTAAGTACCCTGTGAAAATTTAGATTTGGCTGAGATTGGGCACAAATGCACAGTCATGTGTGTGCTACAATTTGCCTAGACCTTTACACATTTTCAATGCTCACATTCAAGAAAATAATCGATGAAAAATTGAGCTAAAAGTATGGATTATTTTTGCACCTTCCGAATATCGCACACCAAAATATTCAAGTTCCCGGATGAAGGGAAACTTGTCTACTATGTCATAAGGTAGGTCTTATTCCCAACAGCCCTATAGGGCCTAGTGCATACGAGCTATGCACAATTGTTGGAAAGCATTCCTGCCCGACTGATTCAAAAGCACTGCGCACTTGTACGGCCGAAACATGAACCAAGTTTGTGGTGCATAGACACATACCTACTGGAACGGGGTCCTAGCTAAAATACACAATTAGTAGTTAGCCCTACAGTAGTTGTGTAGTTTAGGACCCCAATCCCATAAGAGAACGAAAAGACACTTGGTGTTTTCGGACATAATATATCCTCGACCCTCCATAGAGAGTTCAGGTTATCTTTCCGAGGGGACGCGAGTCCCTTGTTGATCAAAAAGTCACCTGCAACTGCCCCCAGAGCAGGAATTACAGTGAACTTTTGGGAGAGTACCCCATTGCAGAGAACCGTTATGGGCCTTCCGTGAACGGATAAAGAAGAAGAGTGCAGTGCTATAGAAGAGCCGCAGTCATTTCTGTCGAGCCCAGGTAGCACTGCAGACAACCCAAATAGAGCGGTGAAGGAGACAGTTACTCCAAAGAGATTACATAGTGACTTGTTGAGTTTTGCCACTAGTCCAGCGCGCACAGAGACAAAGAACTTGACACAGAGTACACAGAGCCCATCAGCTGGCCCATGGCTGCTGAAGAGAGAACCAAGAGTTGTCAAAGAGGGCAGGGAAAATTTGGAGTTGTCCAAAAGACGACCTATTACCCCCCATAGCGGGCAAAGTGTTATGGAAAGAGTATTTCCAGCACCTTGAGTCCTGCAGAGTAGTGAACCAATGGAGGGAGCAACAGGCTGCTAGCTATCTGGCTGCAAGTCTGCAAGGGGGCGCCCTCAGATTATTGGGCGATGTTCCTGCAGGACAGAGACAGTCGTATAGCCAACTAGTCAAGTTGCTGTAGAGAAGATTTGGTTCAGGCAGGCAGAGCGGGAACTATCTTGTCAAGCTGAGGCAAGCTGATGCAGTAGAGAGTCCGACAGTGAGAGAGGGCATCAATAGGGCCCGTCCAAAGAATCTAGATGAAGCCATTTGAGCTGCACTAGATACAAAATCTTTTGAAAAGGTTGAGCAACAGAGGGCGCTCGACGGCAGGCCACAGGAAATGGCAAGAGCTGTAGATACAGGTGAAGAACAGAGGTTTTAGAATATAGAGACAGAGATGAAGAGTCTGGTAGGATTGTTAACAGAGTTAACGAAGAAAATCAAAGATAAGAGTACTGCAGGAGAGGACTGCATTGGGACTCCTAGAGCGAGTAAACAGAGTGGTGAAAAGTGCACTAATTGCGGTGAGACAGGTCAATCCGCAAAAGTGTGTAAAAGTCATAAGGATGGAAAACCATGGCAGGATGACTGGAAATGTTTCAACTGTGGAGAAAAAGATCACCTTTGCAAGAGAGTTTGAGACAACCTGAAGAGACCCTGGAAAACAGGGAAACAAGAACCAGCCGCGCGCAGGGCCCGTGGGCAGGCTGGGAATGAATGGGGCCAAAAGAGACACTGTAGCAACAGTCAGAGAGTAGTGTATAAGAGAAGCGGCAGAAAACTGAGGTGACACACTGATCAGCAGTACAGTGTATCACCAGATACCAAAGGAGCAGAGACAAGAGAAGGTAGAGGTGCAGGTCAGGCAGGTGGGTGGAGGTCCCCTCCCTGTGCTAGGCACAGCGTGGGTGGATGTCCAGATTGGACGGACCACTAACCCAGTAAGAGCAATCATCACAGAGATGAGATGTGAAGGAATCTTAGGGATACTTCCTAGTGGAGCATAAATGGTGAGAGAATAAAACGCACCAGTAGTGCAGGAGAGCCCTTTGTAGGGAGAGTGGTAGTTGCAGAGACAACTGTGATTCCCTCTGGGCATGAGGCAGTAGCGCCGGGCATTATTGCAAGAAAACACCAAGAACGGTCTGGGCCAGCCATCATCGAACCAGTAGAGGGTAGTGGAGGCTTGGCACAGAATTGGCATCATGCTTGCCAGATCGCTAGTAGAGAAAGGGAGCCAGGTTGTTCCGCTGCGGGTGTTCAACCCCGGCAAAGAGAAAAAAGTGGCCAGAAAAGGGACCATTGTAGGAATAATTTCTACGGTGAACCCCGAAGCCATAGAGAAGGGGGCAGACAAGTCTAGAGAGGCTGTGCTTGGGTTACCGGTGCACGTGCAAGACTTGTTCGAGAGATCGAGAGACAACGTAGAGAGCAAGTCTCGTGGCCAAATCAAAAGATGCTTGGATGAGTACCAAGATGTGTTTTCTAGAAGTGACCATAATATTGGTAGAACAGATGTTGCTACACATCACATAGACACTGGGAATGCCAGACCAATTAAAGAGAGGTCCAGACAGCACCCCGAGTGCATCCAGAGAGAGATACAGAGACAGGTCAGGGACCTGGAGACAAGAGGTGTAACAGAACCCTCGGACAGTCCGGGGCAGCAAACGTGGGGCTGGTGAACAAGAAGGATGGGACCAAGCGTTTCTGTGTGGATTACAGAGAGATAAAAGCTGTGACTATCAAAGATGCTTACCCAGTACCCCGCATCGACGAGATGTTCGATGCGTTGGAGGGTGCCCAGTGGTTTTTGACGCTAGATCTTGTGTCGGGCTACTGGTAGATTGCACTAGATGAGGAGGCCAGTTTGTTGTGAGGAGTGGCCTGTATGCCGTTTGGGTTATGCATGAAAATGTATGATGTTTGGGTTATGCAATGCCCCGGCTTTGTTTGAGAGACTCATGGAGAAAGTGATGAGAGGATTACAGTGGGAAGTCCTCTTTAGCTATCTAGATGACATAATTATCTTTGGAAAGACAGTTCCAGAGATCATAGAGAGACTCAGAAATGTGCTGAGTAGGCTTAGAGACGCTGGGCTAAAGTTAAAGCCTAGCAAGTGTCACCTTTTTGAGAAGTTAGTGGCCTACTTAGGCCATACATGTATAGTTTCTTCCGAAATTGTGGCCACAGACCCAAAGAAAGTCGAGGCCATCAGAGATTGGCCAGCGCCAAAGTGTGTCCAGGATGTAAGGAGCTTTGGAGGCTTTGCATCCTACAATAGAAAGTTCATCAGAGGGTTTTTTCAGAGATAGCTAGTCATCTGCACGCCCTGACAGAAAAGTCAAGAGAGTTTCAGTGGAGCGGGTCATGCCAGAGAGCATTTGACGAGCTTAAGAGTAAGCTCCAATCGTCTCCAATCTTGGCTTATCCATCGTCAGAGGGATGCTTCATCTTTATAGACACCGATGCCAGTGGTGATGGCATTGGGGCGGCCTCAAACTCAGAATGGTGAAGAGAAAGTGCTGGCTTACGCTAGTCAAAAGCTTAGCAGACCAGAGAGAAACTACTGCCTAACCCGCAGAGAGTTACTGGCCGTCGTGGTATACTTGAAGAGTTTCAAGCAGTACCTGTATGGTCGAAGAGTTGTAGTCAGAACTGACCATGGTGCCTTGAGATGGATCCTTAACTTTAAGAATCCAGAGGGCCAAATGGGGAGATGGCTAGAAGTTATTTCAGAGAATGACCTAGTCATTCAGCACAGAGCAGGGAAGAAGCACGGGATGCAGATGCATTGTCCAGGCGACAATGCAAGCAGTGTGGCCGTGAAGAGCCGGTATAGTCAAAAACTACCCAGGAGGTAGAGACTTCAGAGCAGGGATCAGAAGAGGTGAGGCCACTGGCCAGGGGCATAGAGGCCCAGCCTAGTATCCCGGTTGAGGTTTTGAGGAGAGACCAGTTAGAAGACCAGAGCGTCAATTGGGTGTTAAGAGCCAAAGAGGAAGGTAGAGATCGCCCAGAGTGGAGGGCAGTGTCCCATTCACCGGCGGCGAATAAGAAGTACTGGTCTTATTGGGACCAGTTACACGTAAGAGGTGGTATAGTGTATAAGAGGTGGGAGTCCGACGATGCAAAGTCTGTGAAATGGCTGTTGGTACTACTCCAGAGTTTGAGGAATGAAATCATGAGAGAAGTGCTCGACAGCTAAGCCTGCACTAGATACAGAAAATTTTGAAAAGGTTGAGCAACAGAGGGCACTTGACGGCAGGCCACAGAAAATGGCAAGAGCTGTAGATACAGGCGTAGAACAGAGGTTTCAGAATATAGAGACAGAGATGAAGAGTCTGGTAGGATTGTTAACAGAGTTGATGAAGAAAATCAAAGATAAGAGTACTGTAGGAGAGGACTGCATTGGGACTCCTAGAGCGAGTAAACAGAGTGGTGAAAGGTGCACTAATTGCGGTGAGACAAGTCACTCCGCAAAAGTGTGTAAGAGTCGTAAGGGTGGAAAACCATGGCAGGATGACTGGAAATGCTTCAAATGTGAAGAAAAGCAGAAATTCTCTGATACCATACTTCAACTCCTTACACCAAAAAAGACAAGCAAACAAAACTTCTATATATGAAACAAGAAATTCAAATAAATGTTAAAACGACCTTACCACGAGGGTTAAAAAGAAGAAATTATAGAGAAAAAAAATGAATGAATAAATACATTTACATTTTTTTTTTAATTCCAAGTACAATTTAAATAAATGAATAAGCATATATACTTTTAAGCAAAACTATTTGAAAATTCCGTAATAAGCACGGAACTCGACACGAAACTTTGAAACTGCATGATATGGGACTGTATGTAGGCAGTCCAGCGAATTTCATTCTTTAACGAAAAAAATATCATGTTTTGTATCACTGAAAAGAGAACTACACGACAAAATCAACGGCGTTTGATTGATTCAGCCTCATAGGTGTTTGCATTTTGGAGATACAACAATGTAAATGGCCGAAATTGGCGTTTCAATTCTGTAAGATTTATATTTTATACTTTTAGCATCTTTTATAAATCTTATTTTCCAAACCTATCAAAATGTTTGATATCATTATAGGAATCCCCATTGAATAAACAATAACTTGATTTTTGAATCAGGTTTTAACAACTCATTTACAAAAAAGTTCCTATTTTTTCCGGACCTTCGCACAGTCAAGGCGCACGCCGAGCAAACACTGCTCTGAGACCAGACAACGTCAGATGGCCCGTGCTGGGTTTTCGCAAAATTTTGGTGAATCTTAGTGGCTTTTTTCGAGTGATCTAAAATGAAAATCAAGATGGCTAGGAAAATCATGAAAATCGCATCACAATACCTTACGAACATCCAAAAAGCGGAATGCGCAATTGCGTCGCCACTGAAAAAGATGTTTGAGCATAAAAATGACAATGGCTGCGTGCTCGACCATGTACGGTCCCTACTTCAAGCAGGTTCAGGAACATGACGTGATGGATTCTAAATATTCATGATAATTACATTACAAGATTGGATTTCATCGGAACCTGCAAACCAAAGAAAAATGGATTTAAAGTTAACCAGGGATTTTTTAAAACACCGAAAATGTGTTTGTTTAATGCAGTAAAATGTGATTATTTTGCATACAAAAAGGAGTGCAGAAATATGATTGAAATGCTCAAACATTGTCAAAACTCACAATTTTCTCAAAATCCTTGTCTTTCATCATGCTTATTCCAATCCCATAAACATGGCATGGCAGACAGCAATCATGTTTTCAAACATTCAGATATTTGAATTTAAATAGAACAGTAAGTATGAATGTGCAAAACAAAATCAAAATTTTAATCACAATTTCCTAATCACAAAAAAGGGTCACAAAAGAACAGCGCCCTCACAGTCACACATACCGGGTGTCACATGTCAATGATAATGTCACATTGTGGTAGGCCTAAGCTTAGGCCGGCTAAGGAAAGGGTTAAATATTATTTTATATATATATAAAAATACCTTTTTGATTAGTTCCATGCGAAAAAGTTGGCCAAGCAGCAGATTGAAGTTTAGCTTTTTCCTCTTCGTCGGAGCTGGAACTTGAATCTGCCATGTTTGGGTCGTTTTTACCCTCAGTTATCGAAGCAAAGCTTCACCTTACCTTTCGATGGGCGCAGACATGTTGTACGAGGACAAAATACTGTTTATGAAAGTAAACTCAAAATAAAATTACCAGAGAAAAAAAAGTATTTCTTATGGAAATTTTAAAAGGACACAAATGCCTTTTTTGTTTGTTTTTATATTAACAAATCGCAATATATTTTAATGTTCCTCTAAGCCCCACCTCCCACCTCGGTCAACTCCCCGCCCCCCCCTTCCCCATTCACAGCCACTTGAGGGCGCAATTTCAGTCAACATCTGCTGGCCAGCAGCTCTAGCTCTGCAGTGTTGATAAATTAGGTGAGTTGATTAATCTGAAAAAGCAATTTAAAAATCAAGCATTGTATAAAATATCTCGAAATATCTCAAAACCTGAATAGTACTTATCAGTTATTTTCAAGGAATGATGAATTTTATTTAGAATTAAAAGAATCAAGACAAGAGAGCCATAACGATAGCCACTGGCACTACGATTTAATTAACAATAACATCTGATCTAGGGCCTAGCTACTCCTAGAACTATGATGCTCCGCGTGAGCATCATAGTTCTAGGAGTAGGGCCTAGCCCGACTGCGTCTGGCCGTACAGTACTATCGCAAGCTCTGTAGTACGACCAGACGTCCAATGCTTCCAAAAAGACTGAATTTTTTTGGCCGCTGATGTAGCGATTTTGCTACAGATTTCGATCGAGATTATCTTTTCATCCAGGACAAAAATTTCCAAAGTTAAGGTTCTTAGTCGTAGAGCAACTCGTACCTTTTCGAAAAAACGTTCTTTGGTCTCAATATTTTCATCCATCTGGCCAAAAGACGACTTTCAGTCATCATCTTCCACAAATATCGTCCCGAAAATGCTCCCCCATGCGATTTCAAAATGGCGGCCGTGCTGTAATGTATGCATTATGCGAGCGCCCTTGGGCAAGATAATGAATATGCATTATTTAGATCATGACCTCGTGTTTGTATGGCCAGCCGCGCCGAGTGTCCGACAAACGTCATAAACTGTGATGCATATTCATTATCTTGCTAAATAACATCATGCTGTGTGTTTTTTTCAAAATTCCCAAAATCATTCAAGAGAATTCTGCAAGTATGTTTATACCGTACATTAGTTCACAAAGTTTCTTTCCTTTCACAGGACTCAACTTTTTGTTGCAACCAAACACGGCACAGACTTCTTTGTCGAAGAGGATTGAATTGAACAACATCTGATGAACAAACACACAAATAATAACTAATTCAAAAAGTGCCCCTACCGCAAGGAGGTAGCACCATGTCCCCGCCCCACATCCAAACCATGGCCTACCTGGCCATGGCTGGCTGGATCATGGCTAGCATCGGACTCAGCAACATCAACAAGTGGCTCTTCGATGAGGAACATTTCCGCTACCCGGTCTTTCTCACCATGCTGCACATGTTCTCGGCCTGCCTGTTCGGCTCCGTCGTGCTCCGCTACACTCCCTTGGGGGCGGCCTTCGGCGAGGGCAATGCCCGGTTGCAGATCCCGCCCAGGTTGACAGTCCGGATTCTTGTCCTCAGCATCGTCTTCACCCTGGCGGTCACTCTAGGGAACATCGCCCTCCGTCACCTCTACATCTCTTTCCTGAAGATGGTCTTTGCGCTGTCACCACTAGTGACGGTCATGCTGTCCCGGATTTTCTTTCACCGACCTGTGGATAACTACATCTACATGTCTATGGTGCCACTCTGCTTCGGCAGCATGATGTGCGTGACGGGAGAGGTCAACTTCAACATCTATGGGTTTTTAGCGGCAGTGGGAGCAACAGTGCTCAGAGCGCTGAAAAGTATACTACAAGGTTGGAAAACTGCCGTTTTGTGTTTTTGGGTTGTGTTTGTCACAGTGTGCGCATGTATGCCACACCACACTGCATACTTACTAAAGGCCTTGGCAGCACATTATACCACAAGTTGTCAGTAGATAGTGTGGTAGAAAAGTGGAGGCTGCCCTGTTTTGAAATGTGATATTACAGTCGAGTCTCGTTAATACAAACTCGATCGGACCTAGCCAAATGGTTTGTTATATCAGAATTTTGTATTAAGAGGAACATCAGTCCCATTCATTGCACACATTGCATTCATTGCACAGTCGGGACCAAGGCTTTATGTTTGTTATAACCAGAATTTATATTAACAGACTTTATATTAACAGAGTTTGTACTAACGAGAGTCAACCGTACATGGCAGCCAAAACATGGCAGCCAAATTGACCAATCAACAGCTTAGCCCACATTTATGATTGAAACGACGTCACAGTTTCTCCGAATGGCTGGCGAACGGGGTCGCATAAAATTTGCATGCTAGGATATATCAGAGGTTCCTGAATGTCTGATCCTCAAACTATTCATTTGCATGTGTCCTCCTCAAAGATGGTTAATTTTTTCCACTCATTATTTTGACAAGTGTATTAAACTGATCTCCCTTTGAATCCCAGGTGTTCTCCTGAAGGAGCAACGCATCGACTCCATCCGTCTCCTCTATCACATGTCCATCCCTAGCTCCGCTATGCTGCTGGCAGCCGCGGTCATCCTAGAACCCTCTGCCTTCTCCCCTGCCACCCTCTGGCCCGGTGCCTTGCGTCTCCTCTCCTTGCTCCTCCTGAGTTGCCTCTGCGCCGTCGGCTACAACCTCATGAACTTCCTGGTCACGTTCTACACCTCCCCAGTGGCTTTGCAGGTTCTCGGCAACGTGGCCATCGTTTTGGACGTCGCCGTGTCGCTGGTGGTCTTCCAGAACCAGATCTCCTGGCTCAGCCTCGGGGGAATCGCCTGCATCATGGTTGGCACGGTGATGTACCAGGAGGCGGGGTCGGTCAAGTGGTACGTCGAAAACCGCGTGTCAAGATCGCTCAACGCGTACTTTTAACGAATGGTCACGACAAATGATCCTCTGCGCATATGCAGACATGATCGTTTCTTCGCAGTATCCTTTTTAAGTGTTGCAAAATGAAATAACTTGATGCATACATAAAGTGATATAAATAGTTGCAGTCGGCAAGGCTTGAGCATTCATTACACATTAAACCTCCAGCTGTCTGAACTGTCACAGACAGTCAAAAGAATCACTCCTCTCCCCTGCCATGCCTTTTACACAGGCTAGTCGCCAACAGTCAGATCATATTTAGAGCAATTCACTGCGATTCCGATTGCCTGTTTGCGCACGTAACCGTGACATCACTTCCTTTACATTCCAAGCCCCCCCCCCCCCCCCCCCCCCCCGCTTTTTTAATTGCTCACTGGTATTAATTAATCTTAAAAGACAGTCTGATCTGTCAAAGGATCAACCCACACACAGCAGAGTCTGGATGCCAGACACTATACGTGTATTTTCAATAAAGTTGAAATACAGCTGATTATCATTCCACACACCTTTAGAAGATGACAGTGAAAAAAAAACCAGTAGAATTTCTTTTCGAAATATACATAAGATTTGATCCATGAGGTCAAATTTTTAATCTCTTGCCATGCACAATTTAATTTTATTTCTGGAAAAAACTTTTTTTAACAATAATGTGTAGATTAAATAAAGCCTGTCAGTTTCCATTGTTTTTATTATCATTTTTACGTACCTTTTATATTATTTTTAAAGTCCATTTGATGATCTTAAATGCCTGTTTTCTATGTATACATGCAAGTACAATCTGAGTCTTTTTATAAAGTTATCTTTCTATTCACACATCAGCTTATGTTGAGTTGTGACTATTGACTCTAGTGAAGTATTTTAATCATTCTGAAATGATCTAAGTGTCTAATTATTTAAAAGAAAGCAAGAATTGTGTCCACAATGTGACCATGAACTTAGCAGTTATGACTTCGTGCCTATCTTTTCCTTCATTCCCAAAATTCCATTGCGAGACACCAATAAGTGGTGCAAGTATTCTACGGCTATGGTGATCGATTGTGCAATATTTAAATAATGCTGATATAAATGTACATAATGTAGCTTACTGTTATTATTATTTGACTTATTTGAAGTTTGTATTCTTGTTTTAAATACCCTGCCAAGTACCCCATGTTATCCAGAATGCATTTGGTCATTTTTTAAACGTGTTATATATGCAAATTATTTTTTTTAATTTCTTGTCTTTCATAACAGGTCTTAACAAATTAAGCCATGGAATTCAGTGGTTTTGGTTGTACAGTACATGGTGCACATTTTTGTTCAGTATATTTTTACCTGCCAACAGTCTACACCGATCAAGACGGCCCAATACTTACAGTTTAACGGTGTTAATCTGGAATAACCCTTACCACCCCAACCCTGGAAAAAATCCAACCACATTGAAATTTGTTAGAATCTGTGGAGTGAGTATTGCACTAGTAAACTGATTATGCTTTACATGGGGTTAGGCATACCACCATAATCAGAGTCCAACAGTTTGGGTGTTGAGTTTACCATATGGTGTTGGATTTTGCAAGAGTGAGGAAGGTTCCTAGTAAATCACTCAAGGAGGTAGGGTTAATGCACTTTTGAAATAGCAGATTGGTTTGTGTGAGCCCAGTGCTCTCAGTTTAACGGTGCTAATTTTGAATACTACATGTTTTAAAAGGAAATCCAGGCCAATCTCAATTTAACTCAAAGATAACAAATATGAAAAGTTAAACAGCTCACCAAATAGTCATGTATTCAAAAACCTTTATTCAGCCCAACTAGTGACCAAAATATGACCTCATAAAAGCAGATAGTATTATTCATAAATAATATCCATCATAAATAATATCAATCATAAATAATAATGAGTTTTCAAGAATCAAATGCAGCTTGGAAAATGAAAATGGGTAAAGAACAACAGTTAAAGGTACAGTCCATATTTGTAATGTGTGCATTTTGTTCATTTGAAGCAACAAATGTGCTTAAAATCTAAAGAAGGGTGCTGAACAACTAACCTGATTAAATTTCAGCTCAGCTTCAGCTGTTTATTTCCAGAAAACCTACATTCTAGGATCTTGATTTCAAATCAAAAGTTGCTGAATCATGTTTTGAATTGGGCCTGAATTCAGCGTCCGAGACACGTTCTCACTGAGCTGATTAATTGCAGCTACGTGATGTCGCGCACTGAACCGATAGCAACCGCCCGCGCGTGTGCATCGTGTCAACACCTGAGCGCGCTTTGCCGAATAAAAACACAAACTACTTACGGAAATTTCCAACAATGCGTCTTTAGACGTATCGTTGAAAAGTCTTTCTTTCTTTGATTTCTTCAAAATGACAGCCCCCTTGCTGCATATATCTTTCAAGTTTCAACCAAGTATGTTTTTTAACAATAATTACGTCAGTTACTTTTTGGATAGCTGCAAATGATGGACTGTAGCTTTAAGAGTGTCAGATGTTTGGAAAAATACTCTACATGTGTATCACTGAACAGTATTGCAGGCAATATGGTTAACTTTGAATATCTGTGGGGGTCTAACACAGAGTATTGTCTCTCTTGTTTTTATGTATTCAGTTCATGACCATGTACATGTACATGCTGTAGTATTTGATGCAGTAAAATTACATGCATGCCTGTGGAATTTTTGCTTTATTTTTTAATTTTTTGAAATAAATCATATTCTAAAATAGATATTTATTTCTGGCTTGTAAATACATAAATTTAACTCTTCTTAATTCAAGGTGTGTATTTTATTCAGGACATATTTTTTTTGGCATATTAAACAGAGAATTTTGACGTGTTTAAGTATTTATTTATCAGATGAATTGTACATGTACTGCTATAAGTGTGTATATTGAGGCTGGATATTATTCGTTAATTAATTAACCCTTACTCTCTGAGGGTAGTTTACTGCATGTCAGTTGGTTATGCCAATGCCCTCCAGCTGCAGTTAATTGGAGGATAAACTATCTTGACTGTGAAGGCTCCAATTGGCAGGAGTTGGAGGCCCTGGAGGGTGCCTGATACTGACCAGCTGGGGGCACTCACTTTGTTATCAGAGGACTCTCATTGTTCTCTGTGGCATGTATTGGAGTGCCTGTCCAGTTACCCTTGAAATGACATGGCAGATATTGGAGGGCCATGCAAAAAACATAGGAGATTTTCTTGAGGCACATATTGGCATGCGTTGGAGGGTCTAGTAGGGTAAGGGTTAATTAAAGCTTAAAAGAGATTCTGAAAAAAGCATATATGTCACAGTTTGGGTTGTGAGGGACCACAGTACTACGTATTATTTTTTAGGACGATAATTTATGATTGCAAATAATCGCAACAAATTTTAATACGTACATTGCCATATTGAAATGGTATTGATTATTTTGTAATAAAGATGGAATGTACCTCAAATAAGCTTTTAGGATAATCAAGGTATTGTGACCTGTCGCCACGAAAAGAGCATAAAGTCGTACAGTGGGGCGAAGCCAAATTTTTAAGGGATGGTTGATTTTGTTTTCAGGTGAACTCCCATTTGTAGGTTCTATTCTACCTTTACCAATCGTTCTTGTTCTATCAAATGTCTTCAAACTTATTTTCATCCCTTTGCATTAGTTGACTGTTATTCACTGTAATACAACAGTGGATTTTGAAACCATTTTCTCAAAAATTAGTTTAACAACTTCAATTTAGTTGGCAGTCTATATTTTTGTTACTGAACTCAGTACCGCAAAATGTTATATACCGTTAGAAAGATCTTGTTCTGCAGAATCCAGAAATACAAAATATCAGAAATTCTTCAAAAGTCAGATTTTATGCTCATTGTGTGCTGACAGGTCTCAATTCACAAACAGTGCTTAAAAGTTGTGAATGAATGCATAGATCCACTTTTTGGCGCTTGTCACTACTTATTTAAATGTGAAAGACATTGTTCACAGTTATGCAACCTGAGGGCCCAATTTCACGCTTAGCAGATTTCCGTGCTAAGCATAAGTCGGCAGAGAACCAGTCAATAGCTATAAACACCACATGGCATTTTAGCCGGTTACCTGTTTTTGCTAAGCACATATTTTCTCTGCTTAGCAGGTAACTCAGACTGGGACCTTGAGTGGAGAAAAACATGCAAAACACATTCAGGCCAACCTTACTCTTGACTTTTAGCAGACAAAATTCTCAAAAAGTTTCCTGAGGCAAAGACCAGGTCCTCAGTATTTCACTAGCCAAGTTCAAAGTCTCAATTCAATTTTTAACCCTAACTCCCTACTGTCTTTTACTAAGTAATGGACCAAGTCCGCCAAACTCCATCACTGACCCTGCTTCACATAATGCTTCAGGACCAAATCTGCTGAAATCCACCACAAGACCACCACTAGTATCTAGGTGGATTTTGATGGACTTTGTACAGATGGCTTGTCTGCCAAAATCCCTACGAAGGGGCGATGAATTTGGATGGAGTTGGGAAGGTTAGGGTTAATTAAGAAAACTTTTCTTCAACATTTTGTACCTGAGAGTGAAGCCAGGTGATTTCAATTCGAAGCCTAAGACTAGACTGGTACATGTCCAACTTTTTGCGAAGATTTACCACTTCAGTAGTCTGGTGGCAGAGTAGGGAAAGATGTGTAGAGATAGAGACCATTAACAAATTTTCGGACATGCTCGGCCCTGGTCCAAAAATTTGGGACTCTCAATACTGTGTATGAGAGTCCTAAAACTTAAGGTACTGGTATTGAAAACATGCCAAACAAGAAAATAGACTGACATCTGAAACAACCAGTCCAACAACTCTTCAGTACTGCATCAATCAACTGTGCCAAAAGAAACATGTGGCAAGTTAGGAACTAGTCTCTACTCACTTCCCATTTCTCCATAGTCAGTCACCAGACTGATGACACTGAATGAAGAGGTCAGTCTTTTCAAATAGTTGGACCATGGTTGGACATGTACCAGTCTAGTCTTTAGCCTCATTTTGAAATCACTTGAGAACCCTCTCATGTGCAAAATATTGAAGAAATGTCTCCTTTAAAAATTGAAATGAGTTTTCAAACTTGGTTGGTGAAATGCTGAGGACCCTTTCTTTGCCCAATGAACATTTTGGAGAAATTTGCTGGCTAAAGTGTGAGTAAAGTTGGCCTAATAGTTCTGCACGTTTCAGAGCACTCCAGGTCCCAGTCTGACTCGGCCCTAGCCCTCTGGATATGGGTAGTTTATGTACAATGGGTAATACTCAAGTTACGAATGCAAAAAAAAATGTACAATGGTAACGCATTCTTGTACTTGAGATTAGAATCATTCCTGTTTTACTCGGTAACAATAGACATTCCATGCCACACACAGTCGATTGCATGAAATAAAAAAAAGTTAATCGGATTACTACAAAAAAGGAAATCAAGTAAAGTTGTACACAAAGCTATTTGTGCTTGCGCATTTCCTTTTTCTTCTGATGTAAAGTTGTAAATGTGAAGACAGATTTAAGGCGTCGGCATATCAGCATATGCAATGTAATTGTGAGGGCATACTATGTTTCCTTCCATTTCTGTCATTTAAACATGGCCTTAAAGAGGTTGTGGAATGCTCGAAGACATTTCCGTCATTCTTCGGGTATATGTAGCCTAAGGTGTGATGAAATAAAAACGACTATTGTTTCTGTCATAAAATGAGTACAAAAGGTACTGTTTTTCAAGTCCTGTCATGCCTGTTTCGACCCGAACGTGCAATTTGTGTAAAAGTCGTCGTTGCGGGCAGCAAACAAAACACAGTAAATCGTGACGTAATAAACAGGACTCCCGATGCAGAGTAGCATAAACGAGTCCTGTTTATGACGTCACGATTTACTGTGTTTTGTTTGCTGCCCGCAACGACGACTTTTACACAAATTGCACGTTAGGGTCGAAACAGGACCTGAAAAATAGCTCTCAAAAGTACCCTTTGTACTCATTTCATGACAGACACAATAGTCGTTTTTATTTCATCACACCTTAGGCTACATATACCCAAAAAATGACGGAAATGTTTTCGAGCATTCCACAACCTCTTTAAGGCAGTAGTATTGGGCAAAACATATTCCGTTTGGTCATAAGTTTTAAAGAAAAACCTGGCATCTCTATCAGAAAAGACTTGGGAAAAACCGGAACATCATATATTTGGCTTTTAGGAAAAACAGGAATTTTTATCAGTATTAAATTAACTTATTTTATACATTTTGGAAAGAATGTTGCATGCTGACGCCACTTCTTTTTCATCATATATCATCTCAGTGGAGGTCAGTCAATGCAAAAATGTTGAAAAGACATGAATCTGGGACTGAGAAACATTTCCAATTATGTTAGAAAATACTTGAAATTCTTCTTGACTCTCCATAGACTTTTTTGTACACAACCAATGAAGTGGCGTCTGGATACTACGGTACATTCTTTCCAAGATTTTTGTGCGGTTGACTTACAAATGTCAGTAAACATGTCAATTTATGTTTTTCTTGTGATGCATTCATAAAATTATTTTTTTTAATATACATGGAACTTAACTTTCAGGCATGTTATATTTTCTATTTCGTTTAACATTTTCTATTTTAAATGCTTCTGAGTTCTTTCTTTAATTTAACAGAAATGTTTTATATTTCCTTATGAGGCTTTTTGCAATACACATTGTTTGTTGAATGCACATCATGAAAAAACAAAGTTTGTGAATAAATGTTCAGCAGTGTCGTATTCATATATGTTGTCAAATTGTCTGATCACTATAAACGAAAAAAATGTTGCAACCTGACGCCACTTTTTTCTTCATACATGTTTATCATCTCAATGAAGGTCAGTCATTGCAAAAATGATAAGACATGAATCTGGGACTGAGAAACATTTCCAATTTTATTAGGAAGTACTAAATTTCTTGAGTCTCCATAGACTTTGTACACAACCGCTGAAGTGGCGTCGGGTTGCAACATTTTTTCCCTATAAATTGTTTTTGAATGGTTTCTAAAAACTCAAAATATCATCCATGCCTGGATGTTGAAAGACTAACCTGTTGGAGTTTCACGCTTGGCAGAGGGC